GACGACCCTCGTCTACGATATTTTTTCATTCATTCATTCATTTTTTTTTTTTTTAAATTTTCTCATTTTAATGCGTCGGAAAAATGATAATAATAATAAAAATAAAATAAATCTTCTCGTCGCATTATAAAATTTCATTTTCTACGTATACATTATTATTATTATTATTAACATTATTTATTTATTTATTTTTATTTGTAGGAGGGGCTGAAAAATTTTTCTGACGGCGTTTGAAAATAAAAAAACCTTAAAAATTCCATCCGAATGTAAAAAAAAAAAAAAAAAAAAAATTTCGGTTGTAAAAATCCTGTATCATTTCTCATTTTGACGGTTACAAATCCCCCGGACTCACACTTTAAACGACGATGAATTTGTCACTAATACAAAGTATCAAAGACCTCAGATTAATAATATTGTGGTGTAGTTTCCATGAGGTAGAAAACATTGCCATGCTATTACATTCATTTTCTAATACACGCGCACGCACACACGCAAGTACGCACAAGCACACACACATATACGTGTATAAATGATAAATGTTGGCCCCATCTTTGATTGTGGTGGTTGTACAACTCGACAGTTTTTAAATAGAATCGATACATTATTATTATTATCATTATTATTATTCACTACAAACGATATTTATTAACAACAACAACAACAATAACAACACCGAACAACCGACTTCCAAATTTCATTATTAACAAAAAAAGAAAAAGTAACCACGATGACGACGTTTTCGAGAGATAATAAGAGAGTTACGATAAGTCATTGATAAAATTGAAGTAAATAAAAGGGGAAAACGGGGGGAGGGGGAGGAGGAGAAGAGAAAAAAATTTAAATTTTAAATTAAGAATATTTGGGGAGGGGAGAGAAGGGAGAAAGGGAAAAAAATTCCCCGCACGAAATTAACGACGAATTAATAAAAAATTATTTAAATTATAAAATGCCAGGTACGAATGAGAAAGAGAGAGAAAGAGACAATTTATTCATTCTCTTTCTTTTTACCTAACCTTTCACCCTCCCCCCTCTCTCTCCCCCCACTCTCACTTCCTACCTACCTGCCCGCAGGAGTAAAAAAAAAGAAGCCCGCGCGTTAAACGATGTTTTTAAAACGTAATATTTTAAATAAATAATAAGATGAAGAAGAAGAAAAACACCCACAAGTTTTTTTTTTTTGGGGGGGAGAGGAGGGGGAACGAGGCTTACCGGTAGCCGCAACAAAGATTCATGTTACTTTATCAGATGTTCCAAAACCTGAAAATTAAATGCCTGAAATTAAATTACACCATAAAAAAAAAAAAAAAAAAAAAAAAAAGTTCAGCTAAAGTTAAAGTTAACCATTCATTCACACGTATTCTCCTCCAACTTGTGTGAGGTCCTTCATTTTTTATTACTCGAACGAAAAGAGAGAGAGAGAGAAAAAGAAAGAGAGAGAGAGAGATGAAAGAATTTTCATGATGGGTGAAGGTTGGTGGTACTCATTTGTTTTTATTTTATTAGATTTTTTTTCTTTTTTTTTGGGTAGTCATTTTGAAATAAATAATGATAACAACTTTTTAATTAACGCAAGATAATTTTTCTTTTCCCCCCCCCCTCATTCCCCCCTCCTCCTCCCTCCCTACCTACAGCAGACGACATTTTTTTCTTTTTTTTGACAGTTTTACTGTCGTCTTCGAAAACGAATCGATGGGTAATTTACGACGTGCGTGAATTCCAATAAAAAAAAAAAAACAAAGTGTACCTGACTCGGAATAGAGAGAGAGAGAGGCGTTCGGTAGGATTTTATACGTCGACGTCATCATTAAATAATAATAATAATAATAACAGCCGAACGTTTAAAAATATTTTTCGTTTTACTCATCCGCGACGTACGAATTAAAATAAATAAATAAATAAATAAATGTTTTTTTTTTTGGAATGTTGTTTTGTGTGTTTATGTTGCCCACGTGATTAACATCGTGTCACGGGTCGTAAATAAATAAATAAATATTAAAAAAATTTTTCCTTTTTAAAAATAATGTTTAAATTCAAAGTAAATAATTAGTTATTATTAATAATAATAATAATAATTTTTTGTCGTACCGTGTTAATAATAATAATAATAAGGAAACAATACGCAAACACACGCACGCACGCTCTCTCGTAGGTGCTCGATATATATATTACCGTGGAAATAATTACTCGCAATCGGTCGGCATTGTAATTATCATCATTATCATCATTATTATTATTATTATTGTTTTTTTTTTTTTTTGAAATTTTTATTAGCAATTTTTATTTTCAAATAGAAAATTAAATTTCTAAGAACCTGCGTTCTTTTTTTTTTTTTTTTTTTTTTTTTTTCCATTTTCACGGTTTTAAATATTGTTTCAATAGTAGTAATAATAATAATAATAATAATGAATTCATTGCACTTGGTCATTGGTAATAATTTTTACCTCCTTCTCTTTCTCTCTCTTGCAAAAACACACACACGAGAACACACACACGCACGCATGCAACCTCTTCGTACCTCCTCTCTCTTTCTGACTTCGTCATTCATCATTTATTCTTTTGTTTTCCACGTTTTACTCACTTATTTTAATTTTATTTTTTTTTTAAATTAAGTTCTTAAGGTTATCAAATAGAAATATCGGGAAAATTATCATCTCCTCGATGGTTACCGATATACGTAATAAGTGCAAATGAAAAATAAACAGGTTTTTATAAAAAAAAACGTGGGCGAAATCGTCGTCGGTCGTCGTGCCCCATGGGTGCGCGACAAATGATCACCATCGTACTTTATTTTTACACTTATCTCGACTACTACCTGACCTCGACTTTTGTGCCATGTCCGTACCTTATTTCTTTATCGTCTAACCCTTAAAAAAAAAATACACGTGAATTCCACGGATACCTATCGACCATTTTTCCTTCCACCCACTCTAATTTTTTTTTATGGTAAAAAACATTAATTGCTCGTTTTTTATTATCATTATTATTATTATTTTTAATATCGACGACATAAAGCGAAAAAAAATTTTTTTTTTTTTTTCTATAAAAATTTAAATTTGATTGATTCCTCTTCAGGTTCAGGTATAAAAATATATATAAAACGTTTGAAAGGTGAATAATGAAATATCTCATCTGAGTTTCATCAACTCAATTATCAACCTGAGATAAAAAAAAAAATTATTATTATTATTATTATTTCTCTCTCTGTCTCTGTCTCTCTCTCTCTCTCTCTCTTTCTCTCTTCGCATTATGATTAATTTCCCTCCAGAACAATAAAAAACGATAAGTAAAAATAATTTTTGAATAGCGTGACGAGTTTTATGCACAATCTTTTAAATATCGCGGCCACCTGTAGAAGAAACGACGACGACGACGACGACGACAACAACAACCACAACAACAACAACAAATATTTCTAAACGTAATAAAATACTCTGAATAATAAAAAAATGTAACACGCCATTTTATTTTAAAAATTTTAACAAAGTTGGATAATTTTTTCCACCCTTTTCTATCGATAACGTTAACAGAAAAAAAAAATGACGACAAGTTTGCGACAAACGAAACACAAACATCGACAAAAAAAAAAAAACAACCGACAAAAACAAAAAACACAAACAACCTCCGAAAAAAATAAAAAAATTCAATTTAATATTGACAACAAACGACGATAAAATATTCGTTGCTAAAAAAAAAAATTGTTACCAAACAGGTATACACAATCGTGGCAAAAACAACAACAACAACAACAACGACAACCACAATCGGTTTTTTTTTTAATATTAAAAACGAAACTTGAGTTAAAACCTGATTCTACAGGTTGACACCTAATTACAAATTGAAATTCATTAACATAAATCTTAATCTTTTTATGTTAATTTTGTTTTTTTTTTTTCTTTTTTTACCTTAATTAGTTATTGTTTGTTGTTTGTTTGTTTGTTTAAATTAGTTTTTCTGCGTTATTTAATAATTAAATTTTTTTTTTTTTTTTACAGAACGCCCCTCGTCGATATAACTCAAACGATTATAAATAAAAAAAAAAAAAAAGAAAACATAAAAACACGTAAATGAAACATGGGAGACAACAAACAAACAAACAAATCGGATGTTAGGCGGGTGATCCCGCGTAAATGGAATGTGATACCTACAGGAAGTGGATGCGGTCCGGTATAGATAAAAATGATGTCAGTGATTATCCAGCATATATCCTCCTCGTATTGACCTCCCTTCCTCTCCTTTTTAACTTCCACTTGCCGGGTTTCCGTGCTAAATATGAGTCCACATAAATTGTGTCCGGTGTCAATGACATCACCCACATATAAATAATAATAATAATAAAAACAATAATAATAATAATTCTTGTTTCGTTCAAACCTTAAAAAAAATAATAAAAAAATAAAATGACATATTATTCATTCATTTATTTATTTATTCTAATTATTATTATTTTTAATAACAATTCAAACGATTATCATCAACATCATCATCATTCATTAATTTTTTAAATCATCGTTTAATAATAAAAAATAAAAAGGCACCTCTTATTATTTATAACACCTGATCCTTAATCCGTCTCATCTCGATTTCATACCTCTTATCACAGAACGGCCCCGGGTTTTGTTTTATCATCTATTAAATAATAATAAACGATAATATAAATAAATAAACAAATAAATAAATAAATAAATAATTTTAATATAACGACAAAATATAAAATAAAATTTTTTTTCTGTTTGTTTGTTCTCTGACAGTAATTTTATTATTGCTTTTTTTTTTTCTTTTCTCGTGCGGAGTATAACAAATTTAACAACAATTTTTTTTTTTTTTTTTGTCCTCTTTGATTTTCACATTGCCATTACAATGTTTAATAATAATAATAATAATGTGAAAACGAAATTTATCTAACCCCGGATATGGAAAATAATCCGTTTGTTCTGCGGAATGATGGAGATTTTTCTTTCTTCTTCTTCTTTTCCTCCTCCTCCTTCCCCTTCTTCTGCTTCTTATTGCGATTTTTTCTTCGTTTTACCATCTCGTTTTTTGTCTTCTTTCAAATTGGCGTAATAGAACAACTGGCACAATATGATACCGTTTAATACGGTGGCAGCAACGTAGGTGAGGATTAGTAAGGTGTCACCCGTTTCTTGTATGGACGTGAAAACTCTTGCGACGCAACCGCCGAATTGCATCATGAGAGTCGTGGCAGACAATTGACCGGTGCTTTGATTTTTATAATTCGTCAAAGCTTGAACTCCCTGTAAAAAAAAAACAAAAAGCCCCCCAAAATTTTTATTTAAAAAAATTGTCGACCTTCACACGAGTTTTCACGTCAAATTTTTTCTTTTTTTGGTAAAACGGCAAAGACACATTTGTTTGTTTGTAGCGTGATGCTTAACAGGTGCCCCCCGATGTTTTTCCCTTTAACATATGCACCATCGCATGACAGAATATCAATGTTAACTTATTATTATTATTATTATTATTAAATACAAATTTCTTTTTCTTTTTTGTGGCGAAGGGGTTTTTTTTTAAAGTTTTTTTTTTTTCAATAAAACTGTCACTTTCCGTCTTATTTAATTATCGTTTCTTTTTTCTTTCTTTTCCCCTTCCCCTTCCTTTCCTTTTCTTTTATTTTTTTGTAAACCTAATTTCAACCGAAATAATAATAATAATAATAATAATAAAGTTAATTTATATCAATCGTGGCTGTAATTGAAATCTTCCTTGCTTGTAAATATATACACTTTTCGATTTTTTTTTATTTCTTTGGCTTTTTATTTAAAACGAACCTTTTCTCCAACACGTCAACAACCTTTTCCTTTCTGCTTCCACTTTTTCAGGAGGTGACGATTTGTTGGTTTTTTTTTTAAAGAGTAAAAAAATAAATTGATTCGAGTACGAAGATGGAATAAATTCAATTTTCCCCCTTTTCTCTTTTCCTCTCAAGAACGCTAATGTAATTTTTTTCTTTTTTTTTTCGCTTTATGCCAATCAGTCAACTTTTGCACTGGGTGGCCGTGGAAAAATGAAAAAGAAAGAAAGAAAAGAAATGCATTTTTTAATAATTCGATTGAATGAAGAGAAAAAAAAAAAAAAAAGAAAAAAAATGACTAAATACGGGTAAGGTACGTTAAATGTGAGTCGTGTGTGATTTGTTAATGCGAAGGTCTCCATGGGGCCTTGCCTTACGCGGCGGTCGCAATAAATTATTTCAGTTTTTTAAACTTTTTTTTTTTTTTTCCAGTACCTTGCTCCCTCTCTCTCTCTCTCTCTCTCTCTCTCTCTCTCTATCGAATTTATATGTACGTTCTCGGAACTCATTACTACCAGCACACGCTGAGTAAAAAAAAAATAAAAAAATAAAAAATTAAAATAAAACGGGGAAAAAAGCCATATAAAAAATTTTTTTTTTTAATTTCAGGGGGGGATTCCCCCCCCGTAAAAAAAAAAAATTTGATCTCGTTACTCTCTCTCTCTTTCTCTCTCGAAAACTAAAAAAAAACCATCGTGATCATCATCATCATCATCGTCATCATCATCTTTGTCCTCATCGATAAATGATCACCATCATCATCATCATCATCATCCATCTATCTATCGTCTTTCATTGTCGTTGACAAATCAACGTTTAACCGTATCGTAAATTTTTTAATGTCCTCTCACAATCCTCATCCATCGTTTAACCATTTTTTTTTTTTTTTAAATTTATTATTTTAAACGTAAAAAAAATTTTTTTTTTTTTTTTAAAACTTCGTCTCGAGTAATAAGGAACAACGAACGCAACCTGAACACTCATAATTGCCATCGTTGTCGTTGTTGTTGTTGTTGTTGTCGTGTCCTCGTCCTCGTCCTCGTCTTCGTCGTGGTCGCAAAATATTAATAAATCCACGTATTCCCCTCTCTTACCTTCCATCCTCATATTAATATAATTTTTAAATATAAAATTATCATCATCATCATCATCATCATCATCCAGTCATGTGACATTTTAACAAAATCATTCAGTGTCTCAGTACTTATATTGATGGTTGCAAAAAAAAAAAAAAAAAAAAAAAGTGAACCGTCCGGAATTGTCGGATTTACAAATTGTGTGGAGTGTGCGCGAACCCACGAACACACTCTCCCTGACAAAGAATAATAAATTTTTTTATATAATATTAAAAGTCTTGTTTTTTAAAGATTGTAAATTTTCTTTTTTTTTTCTTTCTTTTTTCCTTCATCTTTTTTCACACCTTTATGAATTTTTTTATTATAATAAAAATAATAATAATAACTAGTACTATTATTATTATTATTATTATTATTATCATTTATTCATTTGACGTTGATGGGAGGCGTTCGCGCGAGAAAAAGGAAAAACGAGCGTCGACGACCAGTCTCAAACGTTTTAAATTAAAAATTTGTCGCAAGATGAAGTCAAAAAAAAAAAAAAAATTGTCGACATCTGTTCGTCGATGGACCCTCCAAAAAAAAAAAGAAACGAAAAAACCCGATATCGATGATACCCACCCCCACCCCCCTCCCCCCAACCACAGAAATAAATAAATATTATTACTAAAAAATATACTTCGAAAATTTCTTTTTCTTTGTTCCGGGAATCGGTTAAAAAAAAAAAAAAAAAAAAAGAAAAGGAAAAAATATATACGACAACAATTTGAATAGAGAGAGAGAGAGAGTGAGAGAGTGAGAGAGAGAAAAGGAAACGTCCTAATTTTTTTTTTTTTTAAGGTACATTCGCGTGTAACTCGAAAGAAACCTTTTAATTTTTTTAATCAAAAATAATAATGGCGTGAAGATGAACTTTAAATTGTTTCTTTTTTTTTTTTTTTTTCCTCGGGAGGATGTCGTGGAGACAGAAACAACAACCTGATTTTGTAATAAAACTTTGCCTCAACAAAATGATTACAATGAGAGGATAATTAATAAGTAGCAACCGAAATGAATTGAAATTATCCCATCAAAAAAAAAAAAAAATAGAAAAAACTAGAAAAAACGACTTCCAATCACGAACGCGAATAAATTTTTATTTAATTAACCAAAAAGGATTTGAGCCGCTCGTAAAAAAAAAAAAAAAGGGGGTTCCAAAGGGGTTCCGACCGAGGGGTTTCAACCGAGGGGCTCTCGAGTAGGAAAACCTCGCGCGCGTGTATGTGTAAATTAAAATTATTTTTCGAAACGAACAAACGTGCCTGTAACGGAGAAAAAAAAACCTTAGCGTTCGAACAACGACAACGACAACGAACGTGTAAAAAGAAAAAAAAAGAGCCACGTTTTTTATAAAGGTCGGCCATTTTCGAACCTTAAAAAAAAAATGTAAATAAATAAATAAATAAAATTTTTTGTTAGTTGTTGACCGAAACTACAACTCGATTCATTAAAGAGAGAAAGAGAGAGAAAGAGAGAGAAAGAGAGAGGTAGAGAGAGAGAGAGAAGGTAGAGAGAGGTATAGAGAGAGGTATAGAGAGAGGTATAGAGAGAGAGAGAGAGAAAGAGAGAGAGAGGTATAGAGTGGTAGAGAGAGAGAGGTATAGAGTGGTAGAGAGAGAGAGAGAAAGAGAGGTAGAGAGAGAGAGAGAGAGAGAAATTGATTATAAAAAATCGAATCGTGTTTGAAAACAACAACAAACAAAACATCTTTTAAATGAAATATGATTTAACACGTATAACAAGAAGCACAAACTAATAACATCCTAAATAAAAAACCCGCCTCGTAACTTTTTCACCCTTTTTGATAATAAATTAATTTTACGGTCATTAATTAATTAATAATAATAATAATAATGATAATAATAATAATAATTTTTTTCTAATTCATTCGTTGCAATTTAAATGAACGCCGCGAAAACCCCGCATAACGTTTTGTATATTAAAAAAAAATTAACGTTCGTGAAACGTTTGAAATTTGTGTTATATCGTCGTCATACGCATCGACAAACGACAAACGACAAACACTTTTAGGCGTTCATAACATCCAGTTATTATAACTTGCAATGAGAAGAAGAAAAAAAATTTTCATTTTTTTTTATTTATGTGAGTCAACTTTATTAAGTCTGCTTAGTTAGTTAGTTAGTTAAGGTGTGTGCGCGCGATCGATTGTCATCATCGTGGCAACAAAATTTTTTATTTTTTTATTTTTTTATTCTTCTTCCTTCGAATCGAGATAATCGAATCGGAGGGGGGGAAATCAAATCGATTAATAATGCCACGATTATGAAAAGAAAAAAATAAAAACGCGACGCGTAGGGGGTTGCACAAAGGAGGAATTTTTTTTTTTAAATAAACGATGCGACATTTTTCACCGGCGTGAACCTTCCTCCTCCTCCTCCTCCTCCTCCACTGTCTCTTATAAGACCGGTAGCCGGTTTTAAAGTGGTTGGTGTGCAACCAAAGAATTAAATATCTCTAAACCACCATCAAACTGGTGAAATACGAGGATTTTAAAAAAAAAAAAAAATTAAATTGTGTTGTCGTGGAGGCAACGTCGTCGTCGTCGACATTTTGATGCCTCGAAGCGGTAAATCGCCCGGCGACAGGCAGGGACATGATGATGATGATGGTGGCAGGCGAGTAACGAAGGCCAAACCCCCGGGGACCCCCTGCCGATTTTAACTTGTCTGCTTCAACTATTTTTTTTTTTTTACTGCTTTAAGTAGGTTTATTACGTAGTCATTGATTGAAAAATATTAATAAATAAATAAATAAAAAAATAAATATTAAAACCGGAGCTTTTGATTGAGAATTTTTTTCACTTTTCATACGTCCAGCCACCTTAAAATTAATTTTATTATTATTATTATTATTATTATGCTGGGAGATAGGGAGGAAAAGTCTGCAATATTATATGGTAACGTCGATAAATTCGAACGAATCCGTCACGTTACTTGTTTAAAAACAATTTCGAGAGGCTGATCTAAATTCCGACATCAACCTTGAACGTTTCCTTAGAAAAACCTTCGTTATTGACAACACGAGAGAGAATACAAAAAAAAAAAAAAAAAAAAAACTTTTTAAACGTTAGCATGCAAATCTCCCCCCCTCCGCCTCCCCTCGTCTCCCCTCCAAAAAAATGATCAAATATTTAAATGTTTAATTTATTTCAATTACGAGCAAAAGTTTTGTTAAACAATGGCGCGCTCCTACGTGCGAACCCATTCATTAAAACGAACCACAATTATTATGTAATACCTTTCCATTTTTTTAATTGAAAAATTATAGTTTTCATTTTCATTTTCATTTTCCTTTTTTTATAGCTTAAAGGCTTTCGATATGTTTTCGATCGAAGATAATAATAATAATAAAAAAAATTATAACCTCTTTCAAAGGGTTTTTTCGGAAAAACGATCGTTGTATGAAATTCTAAGTAAAAATTATAATCGATGGGGGAAAATAATTTTCGTCAACGGGAGTCATAATCATCATTATCATTATCATCATCTTACCTTTCCCAATAGTATTATTGGCAAATTGAAAAATTGAGCGATCCACAACGCCGACAACGGTATCATGTTATACAGTGTTAAAATAGAAAAAAAAACGTACAACGTCACGAACGTCAATGTCATTTGCAATCGATTTTGATACAAGTAAATTAATGCCACGACAATGGCCGTTTGTATTCCTAAGAACAATCCATCACCCCAAGCGCTGAAATCAAAAAATCAATAACGATTATTATAAAACGTCTACCGCGAAAAAAATCGGGATATTGGGAAAACGAGAGAAAAGTTTTATCATCAGGGACAAACGGGAATAGGTAATAGGGAATCATTTTAAAATTACAAATCCCATTCGAACCCGGTTTATTCCATATTTGGGCAATAAAAGTTGTTGTTGTTGTAGGCACAGCGCGCGTTCTGCCACCCTCCCCCCCCCGGTGTTTGTTGTAATTAAAATTTATGCCATCTCATCAATTCAACTTAACTCAACTTCGCGCTTCTACGTTTATCGAAAATAATATTAAAAATATAAACTTTCTTGATGAAATCTTTGCGTGGTTCAACTCAATTAATAATTTTAAATTATTTATAAAAAAAAAAAGGAAAACACCGCTCGGTACCTTAATCTGGTATTAAAAGGTACCGGTGAAGGTGTCATGTTAGCGGCACATCATCTTATTTATCGATCCATCGAATATATTTAAAAAATATTAACAAGGAGTAGAAGGAAGGAAAAAAGGGTAGAGAGAGAGTGAGAGAGAAAACATATATATCTTTTCGGTCGATCGATAGATCGATCGATCTATCTATCGAACGATCGATCAGAAAACAGTCAGGTAATGATGGGCACGACATTGTTAAATACTTTTTTTTTTTTTTTTTAATGATTTTGTGTCGATTTATTTCACGCGTCACGATAATTTGGTCAATGATAGTTCATTTCTTTTTTTTATTAACTTTTAAACATGATCATCATTATTATTATTTTCATTTAATTTTATACGGAACACGCGCGTTTCGGTAAATCATTTTAAATCGATAGATAGATGTATATATATGGCGATTAATTTACTTTTACTGACGACATTTTAAACTCTCTTACGTGATTATAAACGTATAAATTACTATCGATGGAAAAAAGTAGAAAATGGGAAAAGATGATTGCAGCTTAGAGTAATTTAAAAAAAAAAAAAAAAAAAAAAAGAGGATTAGAGAGGGTGAAAGGAAGGAAGAAAGGAAAATAAGAATTCGAAATAATCACTCAAAGAGTAAGATTGAAGTGGACATTTTGAGTAAGGATAGCTAAAAAAAGACAATTTCTTTCTTTTCATTTCATTTTATAACAACCAACCATTTCGTTTTTTACCAAATGATGAATCCATTTTGAAAAGTTAGGGAAGTTGAAGATTAGCCAAGTTTGATTGAGAAAAATAAAAGGAAAGGGGAGGAAGGGGTGGGTGGTGGGGTGGGTAGGGGGGGGATTTCGAATGAAAAGAGTTTGCTATTTTTTTTTTTTTTTTTTCAATGACATCAATAAGATGGGATTTCCTTTCCTTTCCTTTCCTTTTTTTTTTTTTTTTTTTTTTTTAATTAAAACCAAAAGAATTTTGGGGTTGCTATTACGGTTTCCCGCAGAGTACATTTTCATTAAATTGACCCTAATTTTACTTTTTCTCTTATTTTTTTTTTAGAATAAAAAAAAAAAAAAAAGAATTTTATAAATTTTGAATTAATGATCTTAATTCTTAAGTTTAATAATTAATATTTAAATTAAAACAAAATCAAATCGAGAATGATTATTACCGAATAAAAACATTTATCTAATCACTAATCATTGATGTTTGTTTAAAAAACAAAAAGGAAATGATTATTGATATTTGATTGATTGATTGATTGATTGATTGATTCTTACCTAAATGGAAATTGTTTAGAATAACAATAGGCAGAAGATGATGTTATTGCTAAAAGTTCTAAAAGTGATCCCGTCAGTGATATACCCTCTCCACTTTTATTTTTTAACATTTTTAATATTTGAGGTAGTTTAACTAAAAAAAAAAAAATAAAATTAATCAATTTTTTATCACATTTAAAAAAAAAAAAACTATCTATTCCAATTTATATTTCAAATCGATATGAAAACATACAAATTTCTTTCTTTCTTTTTTTTTTTTATAAGTTAATTTAATATCATACCTGTAAATGAACCAACTATTATCATTAAACCTAATGCTTTGCTTATGGTGGCTTTCAAACATTCTTCTGTAAAAACGAAAGAAAACAAAAATTTCGTCAGATGTTGTACTCGGTTAAAACAATAAGCTTTTCTTATTAGATTATTAATAAATAAATTAATGTACATAAGTAACTGATTTTTTTTTTATTTGGAAGGAAAATAATGGCAAAGAGAACATTATTAGCTTTTTTATTAACATTCAAAGCTCTTTTCACAAGCATAATATAGTATGTTTATGTTTTGTCAAATTTTCAGAGGAAATGATTCGAATAAAGGAGTCGAAGCATGTGATGCTCAATAAATAATGATTTAAATAATAATTTTCTAATAAGAATAAATATTTTATTGTTTAATTTAATGCAAAGTTTAAAAATCAGACTTTTAAACAATTTAATAAAAATTATACAAAAAAAAAATTAAGAATGAATTGACTGTATATATATAATTGCACATATGTTTAAGTAAAAGCAGCATGAAATTAACATTTTAAAAATTTTTACAGAAAATAGGTTTTACAAATTTTAGAGTTTAAATTGTAAAAAAACTTGTACTGATAATATATTGTATAAATATGATTTTTAAGTATCAATAAGGAAAAAAAAAAAAAAATTGATAAATTTAGGTTACCTTTGATAAAATTTAAATTTGAACATGAAATAAAAACTAAATAGTTTAACCATGAGAAAATTATTTATATTAGGTAATAAAACAAAAATAACTCTTTGATATTTTTTTTTTTTTTTTTTTTAATAACATTACAAGTTAATTTTTAATCAATAAGTTTTTTTTTTTAAATATTCTGATAAATATTTCAAGTGGTTAACATTTCTTTGTAATATCTTACCGTGAAAAAAATTAAAATGTACAAAATAATTATCGAAACATTTCTTTGTAAACAATAGATAAACAGTTTTATCTTCCATTTTTATTAATTAATATGTTCAACACTATTTTTAAACTAGTCACAGTATCAATCAATAAATTGTATTTTAAATTCTACTACAAGAGAGTGTATTTTAAGTGACTGCAGTGTCATTAGAATTATTCTCAGATTGAGAGCTTTTCAATGCCACGTTTTAGCAAATTCGTAATGTGCAATAAAGTTAGTAAACTTCAGATTAGTTTTTAGCGTATTCTGATATATTAATTTGATTCTTTGGGCGGTAAAGGAAAATAGTTTTTTTAATGTCTAGACCTCTTGTTTTTGTTACTGGCAATGCCAAAAAATTGGAAGAAGTCGTTACCATTCTCGGTAATAATTTTCCTGCCAAGGTAAAGTTTAAAAAAAAAAAAAAAAATATTTTCAACCAAGTTAATTTCTTTAATATTTATCTATGGTAAAGTAACTTTTTAAAAATTCTAATTACGTATTTTACATTTATAAAAAATACATAATTAAATTTAAAAAAAAAAAAAAAAATTTTTTTTTAGTTGGTTAGTCAAAGTGTAGACCTCCCAGAGCTACAAGGAGAAATAGAGGATATTTGTAAGAAAAAATGTTTAGAAGCAGCAAAAATTGTTCAAGGACCTGTTTTGGTAGAAGATACATGTCTGTGTTTTAATGCACTCGGTGGTTTACCTGGACCTTACATAAAATGGTTTTTGGAAAAATTAGGACCGGAAGGATTATCAAAATTATTAACTGGGTGGGAAGATAAAACTGCGACAGCAATTTGCACCATTGCCTACAGCAGTGGCGATCAAAATGAAGATGTGATATTGTTTCAAGGACAAACAACAGGGAAAATTGTTGAACCTAGGGGAACAAGAATTTTCGGTTGGGATCCATGTTTTTTGCCTGATGGCTACGATCAAACTTATGCAGAAATGCCAAAGTCGGAAAAAAATAAAATTTCTCATAGAACAAAGGCTGTTGAAAAATTACGAACATACTTTACTGAAAAATTAAATTTTTAATACAGTTTGTAAATATTAGTACTTGAATATTTCTCTTTTAGTTTTGTGACCTCAACATTAATTTTAGTAAATATATAATAGTTTATAAATAATTATAATTTTAGTTTTAAAATAAACTATAATTATAAATGAGATATTGTAAAATACCAAAAAATAACAATTTAATTGATACAATAATGTTTTAAACATCAATATATATATATATATATATATCATTTTATATTTTTTTTGAAATTTTGAAGTCTAATTTCTAAAAATATTAATTTAATAAATAAAAATGTATCTTGAATTTTACCATTCTTAAATTTAAAAATTTTATTTAATTTTATTGTAATCATCACTTTCCAAAAAAAATATTGTACTTTATTAAAGTATACGAATAAAGTAAATTGTTGTGTTTAAAAGGCTTTACACAAAGTAAACAATTATATTATTTTTATTAATGATATATGCGTTTTATTATTAAACAAAACGTTTTTTTATTAAATTGTGTTATTTGTAATAAGATGGCGTATGCCCACAATTACTATACCTAAATACTAAAAACATGTATTTAAGTATACTGTGATAAATATTCTTGTATTAATTTAGTTACTTGACATTAAAAAAATGCTTGGTTAGTCTACATATTAAAATAATTTTAAAAATCATTTGATTATATGTAAGCAATGATGGATGGTATTCAGAATTTAGTATTAGAAAAATAACGGCCAATATTTGAATTTCAAATAAAAAAATTTTACGTTTTGCATACTTGCGACAAAAGTCGCACAGTGTTATGCACTGTAGAATTTTAACAATAACTTATAAATAAGCATGTAGAAAAAATAGTATTTTTTTTTTTTTGCTTTTCGTATTATCGTATATTCTTTGTTAAAGATATTTAATATGTCTTTAAAAGTTATTACCAATAAATTAAAATCATTACAATTACTTACCAATGGTTTTAAAATAAGGTGTAGTAATTAGATATATTTTAATATTTGAAAAGTTTTAAAACACCACTTACAAATAAAATCTCATTTTAGTATTACAGGTACATTAAGACAAGAGAGACAGAGTTTTTGTAACCCAAGACCAAAATACAGGCCTCCTCCTTGGCATTTAAAAAAAGAAAGAGTGGTAATTAAATATTACTGTAATTAACATGATACATCTCCTGTATTCTTGCTTATTGTAATTTACCTTTAATTTAGAAATACGATGAAATGCTAACGGAAGAAAATAAAAAATTTATTGAGGAACAAATAGTTGAAAAGTATGGACCAGCAACAGATAAACATGGTTTCAAAACTTATGAACATACACCATTACAAAAAGAACCCTTACTTAGAGGAAAATGGTTTCCCAATTGTAGACGATCAGGTCTTATAGGTATCAAAATTGGTGTATTACCCCAATGGCATACAAATGGTAAACCTTTATTAACAACTTTAATTCAGGTACAATTTTTTTTTGGAATTTAATTTTTACACATATTTTTTTTAAAATGGCAAATATACAAATATTTTTTAATAGTTGTTTAAAAACATTTCTATTTATTATTTTCAGATAGTAGATAATCATGTTATTAGTTATATTCCTCCTAAAGATTTTATAGTTAACAAGAAAAGACTTGGGAGAAGATTTTATAAAGAAGGAAAATTAGGATGTTTAGTTGTCGGTTCTGTAAATTGTGATCCACAAATGTTTACAAGAGAATATAATGGTTTATTCGCTAAAGCAGGAGTTATGCCGAAAAAATTATTAACTAGATTTCCCATTCATCCATGTGCTGCCATACAACCTGGAACACCACTTTATGCAGCTCATTTTAAAGTCGGTGACTATGTAGACATAACTGGTAAAACGTAAGAAAGTCATAAATTGGAAGACATTTTTCTTTTTTAAATTTGCAACATAAAAGTTCTTTGCTGACTTAAATCAACATTACAGAATATACAGAGGTTTTCAAGGTGTTATGAAAAGATGGGGATATAAAGGAATGCCAGCATCTCATGGTGTAACAAAAACTCATAGAAGACCTGGAAATATAGGTTCGGGTGGTGAAAAAGCTAGAGTTTTTCCAGGTACTAAAATGCCAGGTGTTCAAGGTAATAAAATGAGAACGACAAGAGGATTAACCGTAAGTAATTTTATTGAAAATTATTATTATTATCATAATCTATAAAAAAATCCTGTTGAAAACTTTTGCATTTGTAATTTCAGATTTGGAAAATAGATCATAAATATAATGTATTATATGTGTCCGGAGACAATATTCCCGGTGATGTTAATAGTTTTGTTTATGTTCACGATACAGTTTTACCTCACAAGTAATAATAATTACTTTTCTTCGACTTTTTTTTTTTTTTTGGAAAAATAATAAATAAAAACAAATAATTTTTTGTAGGAGATTAACAGAATCCCCACGTTTTCCAACTTACTACGAAGAAGATTATAGGGAAAATCCACTTCCCGAAGAAGATTATCATCCGAAAATATTTAATTTTTCCAATCCGTCGATAACGTTCGAAGTTGAAAAGAAAGGAAAAAAAAAGAAATAATAAAATTTAATTTATACATATATACACGTGTATATGCACGTGACGAAATTTCTTTTCAAATCAAATTTTATTATTCGTATAAAAAAACAAATTAATATAAATAATTTAAATAGTACGTTTTGTAAATAAATTGATGCAATTTATTCAATTTGAAACATTTATATACACAAGTATATATACAAACAATGACGTCATCAGTTATGATAACGTTAAATTACAACAAGAAGCCTTATCAATCATCAATTGCTGTCGCTGCTGCTGCTGCTGCTTTCCGACAGATTCGCTTCTTTCTTAGCAAAAACTTTCATCTTTTTCCTTTTTCCCTTTTGTTTAAACGTTCGAAAAATTTCAATCGCTTCTTTTTTCCTATCCTCCATATCTTTTTGACTTTTTTCCTTTTGCGGTATTTTTTCTATCCTGTGTAATTTTTCATTTATGTATTTTTCTTTCGATTTCGATTGTATTCCTCCCTCGCCCCTTCTCTCCTCTTCGCTAAAATCACTTTTTTTCATTTCTACCGTTTTCCGCCTCTTTCCCACATCTTTTCCATCCGTAATTTTCCTATTCGTTTTTCTCTTCTTTTTCTTTTCTTCTTTAATTTTTTCGTCGGATTCGTTGTCGTCGTCGATTCCTCCCAACCTCTTCACCGCATTTTCCACACGTTTGCTCATCATCGTCATCGTTCCTCCCGAATCGTTCGAAACGATTTTAAAATAATTTTCCATCGTACGTTGATTCTACGAAAGAAAAAAAAAATTGGTCACAAAGAAAATCTACATGATGGGAAATCGAATCGTTCAAGAACCCCCCCCCAAAACCCCCCTTTTATTGACACCTTAAAATTACAAATAATAATGATGGTAATTACAATGAAACGAAGGATAAATAAAAGAGTCATTAAAAAATTCATTTAATTAACACAACAATGAGCAATAAAATTTTCATTAAGATCAAAAAAAAAAAAATGGCGACGGAAAAATGACAAAAAAAAACAAATTAATCCCCTTTTTACCCATTTCCCGACACATCTATCACAAATGATAATGATAATAATAATGGCGTACCGCATTTTCTTCCAATTTTTTCATGACGGGCATGAGTAATTCGTTACATTTGTCGTAGGACCAACCGATTTTCGCTTTCACGTAATGTTTGATCAAATCCAAATTAGGTTTTGCCCAAGAAAAAGGTTCTTTCGAATCGTCTACCTGGGGATGAAGGTATGCCTCGGCAACGGCTCTGTTCGGAAATCCTACAAACAAACAAAAAATTGTAAATGACGGAAGAGTTTCCTTCGTTTGTTTTTTATTATACAGGTACGAACCTGGCAAGACGACCGTGTTTTTTATTTTGTTTTTTAATTTCGTTTTCGGCGATCCGACATTTTTCGTTTTCCCCGTCAACAACCAATCGCGAAAATTTTCAAGTCCTTCCAATATTTCGTTGGTAGGACTGGGAAAACATGCCAATATTTCCATTGCCGTGACGGGACCTATACCGGTGAGACCGAGAGTGTAATCGCTTCCGACCAACATTGCCAACCTTATCAAATCTTCTCTGTTTAATTCTACAAATAATAAAAAAAAAAAAAAAATTGTTTAGTCCGCCATTTTTCTTTTTTTTTTTTTTGAATCGGTTTGAAAAATTGAATTTTCATTTCGAAATAATGATTTATAATGTATTTCATTGACTTTTTTTAAAAACTTTTTAAAAACTTCTCACGGTATTATTATTATTATTATTATTATTATTATTATTAATCCTTCGTAATCGTGAGAAAGAGCGAAAGCCCTACTACTACTATTACTATCAAACATGAAATTTAATAAAAAACAAACAATTCTTAGCCATTTTTTTTCCTTCTTCTTTTTGCCTTCACTTCCACCCGATGTTGATTCTCTATGTGAAATTCGAATGATGTAACGCATACACATACACACGAGAGAACAAAAAAAAAACAATGGCCGATTGTTTTTAAATATAAAAAAAATTTTGAATGAATCATGTTTACGAAAAAAAAAAAATTCACTAACTAAAATTTTTCTGTATGTTCAAGGACGTGTATTCCAATACGTGTTTCTTTTGATTGAAAAAATTTTTATATACGACGGTTCCACCAAAGAGCCAGATATCGCTGTCGTCCGTTATCGTTCCCTCCGTCAATCCCAGTATATCCAGTGCGGCGCATTGTGCTTCCGCTTCCATAGGTGCAACGATATAAGGTACTCCGAAAAGTTTGAGCAATGCCTGAAAATAACAAGTCGTTAGCACTATAAACGAGAGAAAAAAAAAACTTTTCTTCTTCCTCCTCCTCCTCCTCTCTCACCTGTGCATCAGAGTACATTTGATCGGTTGGATTGAGCGCATGCCTTTCTTGATTTCCTTGTTCCAACAAAAGATTATTTTGTTTTTCTTCTAATGATTTTTTTAAATCCTCCAATTTTCCAGCATATCCTTCGAATTCCGATTTGTACGACTCTACGGGCACGGATGGTGGTCGTGGTGGTGGTCCACCATTTTGATCCGTGGTTGAAATCCCAACGTCATTTCCGTCTTTAACGACGACGACGACGACATTGTTTTCTTCTTCCACGTTTTTCTCTACGGGATCATTGAATACATCTGCAAATATATCATCGGTTTCGCTTATTTTCGACGACGGACTTATGATTATCGATATGCAATCATTCGAATTTAAATTTTTTTTTTCATTTTCTATGTCGGCTGGAGAATTTAAAAATTTCTCATTTATTTCCGTTTCCTTATTATTAACGTCTTCTACCGTATTAAAAATACTTTCTTCATCGCTACTCGATGGTGAAGAATCATCAACGATTTCTTCTACCTTGGCATCCTTTGTCGGTTCTACTCCTGATAAATTTTGTAACGAACTTTCATCAACTTTCACCTCTTTCAAATCATTCGATTCTTGTTTTTCATTTTTAAATTCCATTTCCGGTTCTGATGATGACGTTGTTTTGTCGTAAACATCACGCGATTCGGATTTATTAACGGAATTTTCCACATTTTCGATTGGTTCAACGCGAAAACTTTCATTTTCGAATTTGTTGAGTTCGTTGATATTCTTTTCCTCCGCCATTTTGTTTTCTGTTACAATCATTTCATTTACTTTTTCATTTTCTTCAAATTTGTCTGATTTCCTTTGCTGTTTGACGTCAGCATTCAAACCGAAATTATCATTCTCGTTCCCATATTCATTCATTTTTTCTTTTACTCGTGTTGGGTCGATATTTTCACGCGTCTGATTTTCCTTTTCCGGGATTCCCTCTTTTGATTCCATTTTGGATTTTTTTAAAATGACATCCGTTTCCGAATCCGATGACCAATAATAATCATCATAATTTATTTGATTCGCATCATTTCCTTCGCAGGAGAGTTTTTCATTTTCTTCTTTGATACCTTTCAAATCATTTCCCGAATTTTTTTTAACCAACACGTAACGAGTCACGTTATCTTTCGCTATCCTTTTCCCCGGTAAATTTTCGTTGTTAATATTTAAAACTCCCTTTTCTTCGAGGAGAGATTCGAGTTCGGCAAGGTTCAAAGTGCAACTTTCCATTTCCTTCCCCGTTTTTTCCAGCGAGACTTGTACCGCGTGACGTTTCAAAAGTCGATTCATTTGAAAATCGGAAAAATTTTCCGAATTTTTGGGCATTTCGTCGAGGATTTTCCACGAATTTTGCTTTTTCGTTTCCAGGAGTTCCGTTAATATCTCGTGCCTGGCTTCCGGTGGCAATTGTAAAAAATCTTTACTCGTGACGTCAACGGAATATATATTTTCGATCCGTCGTCTGTCTTCCTCTTTATCCGATTCCATTTCCGTTTCTTCGAAAGGCCTGACACAACAAAAAAAATTTTTAATTTAGGTAAAATCGTACATTTTTTTTTTTTTTAACCGATTCGTGTATCACGTGACTTTCGAATATCATAATAATCATTAAAAAATATTACGTGGCAACAACAAAGACAACCATATTGGTAATTTCATAAATTTAATTCCTACCGTAAAGAATCCTTGAAAATCGAAAAGAAAAATGGAAAAGTCCTACGAATAATTTTTTTTTTTTTTTAAATATGGATCAAAATTAACTCAACCGTAACGAGTACACGTACTTAACAATTACTTTATGATAAATTTTCAAAATAAATTCAAATCCAAATTCCTTTTTGCAACAATTTGAAGTGGAAAAAAAAAACTCACGAATCTTCTTCATAGTCTGCTGCTATTGCCGGTAACTTATACAAATCTTCTTCAATGGATGGTCCAGGAAGAGCAAAACTATTTAAACCCAAAGCTGCCGAAGATGATTCGTTGGCTAAAATTTGCCGCACGGCTTCGTGTTTCAAAAGATTTTTTATTAATTTTTCCCTAACTTTTTGTGCTTCTAACTTGGCTGCTCCCGTTTGATTCTTTCGAGCCGCCTGCAAAAAAACAAAAACAAATCAATAAAAGGAGCCATTTTAAAAATTTACAAAAATAACATATAAAAAAGTAAAATTGATTTTCTTTCAAAAAAAAAAAAAAATAAATCGTAGGCGTTCGCAACAAATTTTTTTTTTATAATCTTTTTCGCCATTTTTTACTACTCCTATTATCATTATTATTATTTTTTTATTGCGTAAATGTGCACCATATAATTTTCTTATGCAGTAATAAGTCATTAATGAAATGGTCACAGGTGATGAACATCGTGAGATTTTTTTTTAAAACAATTCTTCTTCTTCTTCTTCATCTTTTTAAATCCCACAATCAACAAAACAAAGGGCAAGGATTGTTCTCAAATGTGTTGCATTCATTTAAAATAATAATAATTTTAATTAATAATAATAATAATAATAACATTTACGTATACCATCGACACCCAAGTTACAAATTCACCTAATCTTGATTTTTTTTTTTTTCTCTTTGAAATATTCATAATGCCTAAAAAAAATTTGTAACAATTGTTTAAATTTAATGATATTCTTCAAAACGAAACGTTTAACCGCAAATATTTACATTTAAAAACTTTTAAAAAAAAAAATATTTAATGACCGTGTAAAGACCCAAAAAAAATTTCACATTTTTATTATTCTTTTGTTAAAAAACCGCAAATATGTACATCAAAATTTTTTTTTATAATAAAAAATATATCATATTTTAAATCAGGATAAAACTTTACAAAATTTATTATCGATTCAGACTTAAACCTTAAGTTATTTAAAATCGAAAAAAAAATTACTCGGCATTTAATTTCTCTTAAAACGATTCCTTCAAAAACTGCTCGTTAATAAATACATCACAATGTATGTATAGATGAATGCGAAATAAAATCAAGACGATAAACTTAAAAGCCTTGCTATAGAAATAAAAGAAATTAGTTAATTGGTTTTTTTTAAAAAAAAATTATAAAATTTTTTTTCTTTATTCTTACCATTGTTGAGTGTTTAAGTGCAGGTACACCTCCATCGAAAACAAAAACAGGTTTAATTTTATAAAATAGTAATTTACAAAGACGATGTAATAAAATAATAATGTGTGCAGCAGCGACAGGAGCACCATATGTATCATGCATTCCTTTTATCGCTTGATGAAGCCAGATTGATACATCTGAAAAAAAAAAAACATGAAAAATAAATTAGCAAAAAGTATGGTCGATTTAAAATCATTACATAAGTTTTTGTTTCGGCATACCAACTGCGAGTACTTTTCCAGCTAAACATTCTAATGGAACCATTTGCCCGCTTGGTTCCAACAATTTCCATAAACCGTGAACTCCCATTTTTAAATTATTTCAAATTAAAATTATATAGACTGTTTGTTTTGACATTTTGATTAGGTTGTGATACCTGAAAACAAAACAATAAAAACTTTTGAAAAAGTATAATTAATAAAGTTTTTTTTTAATAAATAATGACAAAGGTTGACATTAACTTTTCAATACATGACAGCTCTTTTTTAAATCATTGTTTTGTAAGAATTCTTTCGTAATGTTTTGCAAATAATTTAAAAAGTAATAATAAAATTTAATATGTAGTTTTACAAAGAGGTGCACAATAAAAGTTTTGTAGCAATTGAATATTTAAAATAAAATAAAAACTTAAAGTCCCCTACCTAGCTCTTCGTGATTGCATATCTAAATTTTTTTTTGTATTTTTATGAAATTTATGAATTGAAAAAAATAACTTAACTTACCTTGAATTAATAAATAAGTAATTAGTATAATTTAAATGAGACTTCCCACAAATTACTATTCGAATCGTCCCGTGAACAGGAAGCCGTGGTCGAAATTATCGTGAGAAAATGACCGTGGGAGAATCACGGAGAAAGAAACTTGTGGGAATGGAAACGGAATAGCTCGTGCCGGGCAAATTTCCCTGCCTTGAGAGACAGTAGTGGCAAGACTGTCGGAAAGTTGAGATCACAAACAGGTGTTCATCATTGATTGTAAACAAGAAGAAAATTAAAGGGATATTTTCCAAACAATGGCTGAATATGAATGTAAGTTTACTGTTTTACTATCGTGCTTGCAAGTTTGACATTTGGGTGTAACAATTTGTAGATTACTCTTTATTACGCACGGCTACCGATAGATTACCATGAAGTTTAAAATAGGGTCTCGTCACAGACGCTGAACTCACGTTCTTGTTGATTCAAATATTTTGAAAGTGCGATATTGATTTTATAACGTTTGATTTCAGTTTGCTCGTGGTCCGGAAGAAATTTATATCGAAATAATATTGTTAAAAGACTAAGATAACTCTATCAAAATGCCGCATCAGTATGGGTTGCCCATGTTGGGCATACAAACTCCCCCTTCGCCGCCTAATCACTACGAAAGATATGCACCGGTACCGCTTCGGCATCAGGAAGATCGAAGGCTCACGCGGGAAGCCATGGAAAAATATTTGCGAGAAAGAAGTGATATGGTTATCGTTATATTACACGCTAAAGTTGCTCAGAAATCTTATGGAAACGAAAAACGGTTTTTTTGTCCACCGCCCTGCATTTATCTATACGGGGATGGTTGGAGATTGAGACACGAACAATTATTGCGGGAAGGTGAGTCCGATCAATCGGCTCAATTGTGCGCGTTTATAGGAATCGGTAATTCAGATCAAGATATGCAACAACTTGATTTAAATAATGGAAAGCAATATTGTGCGGCAAAAACTTTATACATATCTGATTCTGATAAACGTAAACATTTTATGCTTTCTGTGAAAATGTTTTATGGCAGTGGTCATGACATTGGTGTGTTTCAAAGCAAACGCATAAAAGTTATATCGAAACCCTCGAAAAAAAAGCAATCATTAAAAAATGCCGATTTGTGTATTGCAAGTGGTACTAAAGTTGCATTATTTAATAGGTTAAGATCACAGACAGTAAGTACTAGGTATCTCCATGTGGAAAATGGTAACTTTCATGCTAGTTCGACACAGTGGGGAGCATTCACAATACATTTATTAGATGATAATGAATCAGAGTCTGAAGAATTTGCTGTGAGAGAAGGCTACGTTCACTATGGTAGTACGGTTAAGCTAGTTTGTAGTGTGACAGGTATGGCTTTGCCTCGTTTGATAATAAGAAAAGTCGATAGGCAAATGGCTCTCTTGGAAGCTGATGATCCTGTTTCCCAATTGCATAAATGTGCATTTTATATGAAAGACACGGAAAGGATGTACCTTTGTTTATCTCAGGAAAGAATAATACAATTTCAAGCGACGCCTTGTCCAAAGGAAGCAAATAAAGAAATGATCAACGACGGAGCTTGCTGGACAATAATAAGTACGGACAAAGCAGAATATAGGTTTTACGAAGGTATGGGCCCCGTGCGATCTCCAGTAACTCCCGTTCCTGTTGTTCACAGCCTGCATTTAAACGGCGGTGGAGAAGTAGCCATGTTAGAACTCACTGGTGAAAATTTCACCCCGTGTTTACAAGTTTGGTTCGGTGACGTAGAAGCGGAAACGATGTACAGGTGTCAAGAAAGCATGCTTTGCGTCGTTCCCGAAATATCTAGTTTTAGAGGGGAATGGCTTTGGGGTAGACAACCGACTCAAGTCCTCGTTTCCCTAGTTAGAAACGACGGTATAATATACGCAACAGGTTTAACATTTACGTACACTCCGGAACCTGGTCCGAGACCTCACTGTCCTCCCGCCGAAGACATAATGAGAACTCCCAGGTACCCACCCATATCAGATATACCCTGGAATCATCACACTCCTCCTGCAGGAATGTGAATTTTCAATAAATTGAATATTTTTTTATAGACTTGTGTCAATGAGTATTTTCCTCGTATGCGTGACGTGTGTTTTGTACGCGTGTGTGTGCGTGCGAGTGCGTGTGTCCGTCCGTGTATGTGCGTGTGTGTGCGTGAGCGTGTGCAACCCAGTGTTTGTATCGACTACAAAATATTCACAAATCGAATTTAAAAATTATAAATATAGATTTATATATAAATATATATAAAAGTATATAAAAAAAAATAAAATAAATATGCACAGTACATTTATATAAGAAAAAAAAAAAAAAGGTACCAAAACTTTATTACGTCATTATTACGCAATTACGTCATTAAAAAAAAAACGAAAATTTTTTTTTTCTTATCATTACGTTTGATTTTTTTAAATATTATTATTAATTTTCTCTCTAACGATACTCAATAATTAAAAACAATTAAAAATTTTTAATTGTAACTATTATTATTATTATTATTTACAAAAATAAAACGATTTATAAAGTATAATACGTACGTAATTAAATAATAATGATAATTTCAATTTTTTTTTACCTTGTTTTTTTTTCTTTTAAATTATACAGTTTGACATATTAATTAAAAAATAATAATAATGATAATAATAAATCGAGACAAAATAAATAAATAAATTTTATAAAATTATTATTATTATTATTATTATTATGTATTATTTAAAAAAATAGAAAGAAAAGAAAAGAAAGTGATTTTTTTTTTTTTGTATTTTGTATTTTTTATTTTATATTAAATTTATTTTTTGTTTAAACAATAAAATGAAATTTTTTTTTTATATAAACATTTATTATTATTATTATTATTATTATTATTATTATTATTAAAAATTGTTTTCTTTTTTTTCACACAGATTTATTATTAAAATAAAAATTTTAATTTTATTAATTGTGCATCACATTAATTGCAAGTTAATTGGAAAGAAAGAGAAAGATAGTTAGAGAGAGAGAGAGAGAGAGAGAAAGAAAATTTATGTACATTTTAAATGTAAAAAAAATTTTTTATCCTTTTCTATCACGACAAATAAAATTTTCAAATAATTTTTTTTTTTTTTTTGATGCTTTTCCCCTCCAAAATATATGTAATAGAAAAATCAATTAAAATCCAAATGATAATAATAATACAAAAATTAATAAATTTATTATTAATAAATTAAAACAAAAATAAATTGTTAATAATAACTTAATAATAATAATAATAATAATAATAATAATAAATAATAATAAATAATAATACGAACAACAAACAAACACAAACAAATCATTTTACGAGATTTTAATTACGTTCAACCGTACAAATCAAATATATTGATTTCCTATCGATTTATAATCGATCGATCGATCGATAGATCGATATAATTATCGAGATTTAATGTGATGTGTAAAATTGTATGAGTTGACATTTAACGATTAAAATCCTATTTTATTCTCAGGGATTTTTGTTTGTTTATGTTGCTGAGCATGAGTGAAATATACGACGTGAGTAAATCGTCCATTTTGTATCCCAATGACGTTTCGCATAATAATTTCGAACCTCTTACGAGATTTCCTATCGTCATGTGAAAATACGTATTTCCGGATGACCAATTTGATATTCTCGTAAATGGATGAGTCACTAATATCTCCTGAAATTTTCCAAAAAAAAAAAAAAAAAAACGTGAAAATCCGTTGGATTCAAATTTCGAAAGGTTTGTTTCCTGTTGTTACCTTCGTTTGGGGATGTATCAAGCTAACCCCGTGTTTGTTTATGGCTATCAATAACAATTCGGGATAATTTGGTTCGGTCGTTTGTTTGACTTCGAAAAATGCCGAACCGAACGTCGGCCATCTATATGTTATTTTTAAAAATGTTATTTTGGCATCTTCCGAACTCATTCCAGCATCTTGATTGTATGACGTCACTATACTCCTCTTCCAATCGTTGGCGCTTTGAGCTTTTATCAAATCTGACGGAAGCAAATCCCGCAACCTTTGACTGGAAACGTAAAAAAACGTTTTTAATAAACCCACCCCCCCGTGCATTTTCATCGTTTGTTTAACTTACGGTATCGTTTGTAGTTCTTGTTTGCTTTCACCGAAACGAACTCTATAAGCGAGTGCAGCCAATCGAGATGCTTCTTCTTTCGTGCATTTATGATATCCTCTTAAAAGTTTCGGTAGTTCTTGATGATAATGAAAAATGATATCCGCGTTTCTATCCTTTCCAGGTACCGTATTCGTCCATAGTTTTTTCATGAAAAACACTTGATAGGTGAATTGCGGCGTCGTACCTGCCCCCGGAAAATTTTATCCAAAATCATTCGAGAAACAAAACCGATTATTATTATTTCTTCAACTTACCATCTCTTGACGGTCTTGCTTTTTTTATCCAATCCGTTAAATGTCTCACGAAATCGAAGAAAAAATCTCCCTCTGGCACGGATATAACTTTATCGGCTATTTTAACAAAAAGGCTAAAACCTTCGCTCGACCTTAAATTTAACCTTTGCGATATGTTGTGGCAAAAATCTTTTGCTTTCGTCGACGAATCGACTTCGAAAGCTTCGTCCGTGTCATCCGGAAAATAAACTTTGTGAAATATTTGTGTCGTTTTGTGTTGTATGGCTTCGACTTCGACTTGATGCGGCGGATATTTTCTTTGACCGTTTCTCAACGTTTTCTGGAGTCTTTGAAACGAATCCTGAGATATGGGATGTCTTCGTGTTCTCAAAAACATCGAAAGTTCTTTTAGTAAATTTTGACTGCACGCGAACAATCCCGTGGCCAACCACATCAATTCCCATCCTCTTTCTTCGCTGATACGATTTCTATTATCGGTCAACTGTTTCATTATTTGGCAGTAAATTTCATCCCGTAAAATTTCCTATAAAAATGTATTTAATTAATCCTATCCGAAATCTTTCCACATTTTAAAATAACGGTTTTTTTGGGGGGGAGGGGAGGGGAGGGGATACACACGTGTTTTAAAGGTCCGTCGAAAATTTGATCGGTGTACTCGTTGGTTATTCTCGGTCTTTTAGACGGTAAATCTCCCATGTATTTAAGTACGGCGGTGAAAGCATAGCAAGCCTCTTCGGATAATTCATCTTTACATAATAATTTTTTCAAAAGAGGTTGTTTTATCGGATCCCTTGAATGCCTCCAAAGTTCATCTGGGGGACCTTTTCGTGCCGATGATAAAGTTAACGTTTTCGATACGGTTCTTTTTGGTGGAGGCCTAATAAAATTTTTAAAATTTTAAATTTTTCCATCGAATCGAAACGAATTTGTAAACGTTTTGTTTGTTTTCAGTCACCTAAAATGATCCAAAGCGTATTCCAACAGATTATGAGGCCTCTCCTGATTGTCATTTCCGTTCATGTGTTGATGATTGACTCTTCTACCATTTTCTGTTGATTCCAAACTGAACAAAGCAAGAATATCACTCGGAGGTTTATTAAGGCACGGGATGACGTAAACGGTTTCGGCAGGGAAATCCCCTTTTTCGTTTGTTCTTTCGCATCTTCCGACACACCAACCGGAATTCATGACCGCTTCGCCGGTACTTTCATCTTCCAATATAATTAAATCACCTCGTTCGAAAGATAAAAAGGAAGAACTTTCGCCTAAAAAAAAAATTACAAAACGGTCTCGGTGAAATTTTTACGTACGTTTAAAAAAATGAATATGAAATTTAATTACCTGGAGCTCGATAATCTTGTAAAGCAATCACGAATTTCGAACGTTTTTTCAGACCTTCTAAGAAATAAACGACGAGATCCCTAATATCTTCAGCATTTGGACTTTGAAAAGTAAATTCTTCTGCTCGTACGGTAGATAAAGTAAACGTTTGCGTGAAAACTTTATTAGTTCTAAAATGTGAGAAGAAAAAAAATAAAAAAAATAAAAATAAAAATACTTTTAATGGCGATTTAATTAAAATAAAAATACTTACTTTTGACTGGCCACTGTCATTATTTCAGGAAACGAAAGCTCTAATAAAACTTGTTCTTGATCATCGACCACGTACACTCCCGTCCAATTCACAGCGATTATGACGTCGTTTTTGGGAAGGTTGGGTCCTGAAATTACAAAAAAAAAATTATTAAAAAAGAAAACTCTAAGTATACTAATAATATATGTAAAATACAAACCTGAGTTTCTATAAGCTTCGTAAAATCTAGAAAATAAAAGAGGCCATTTGAATTTGGCATAACTGACGACATCTTCTTTCACACGCAATGCCACAACTTTTTCTTTAAGGTAGTAACTCTGAAACAAAATAATAGTTTTAAAAATTTTTTGGCGAAAAGGAAAAAACTTTTTTTTACGCGATAAAATACCTTTTTATATGCCATAACAATAAGTTGCGCCCATCTATCAACTGATTTTTCGTTATTCGTGAGACAATAATCCGGTATGTAACTTTGTAACAATGTGAAAAGACGTTCGACGTTCATATCCGTACCGTATTCTATGTAGTATTGCTGTGCGGCAATCATAGCTAAATCTTCTTCCTATATAATAATGTAGGTTGAATTTTATTTCTTTTTCCGTTTAAAATATTTGCACTAAAATAAAAATAAAAACTAACTTTGTCACATCGATATTCTCCAAATTTCACACCCCTCACGACTTGCTGATATATCAAGTTTGTGGCCACTTGATCATCCGTAGGCTCGTGCCAGGGAGCAAAAATTTCCTTTCTAAAAAACAATCTCCAAGGTGCGTTTCGCTCTTGAGCTCCCTGTTCTTTGGCATATTGTTCGCATTGAGAAATTGCATCCATTACGTGGTCGCCTCCGCTACCCAAAGACGAAACCTGACATCGCAAAAAAATAATAATAATAATATTCCCAGCAAGATAAAAATTCATTAAAATTGATCGTTTTCGCATCGAATTTCACCTTATCGAATAAAGCAATGTATAATGAAAAACCGAATTGATCTTTCAAACCAATTTTATCGGAGAGTTGATTGCAAAGTTCCCGTGCCGTGGTTGCAGAATCTGCCAATAATGTTTTCGTATTTCCATCCATAAAGGTAATGGGAAGCATAATTGGTTTTTTCGATTTGGTAGCTTGAAGTTCTAGCCAGCTGGGAGGTTGATTTCTAGTTCCGTTGTTAAAAGTTCTTTTCAATCTATCTTCGCAGTAAGGAGCGTATCCGGGAGGGCCTTCTCTTATGAATGCACGTAAATAATTGACAAACTTTTCGCTCGGTGAAAAACAACCCACGCATAGAGAAAGGAGAATCCATCCCCTCGCATGAGATGATTTTGAAGGGTTCGCCGTAAGTTGTTTACATATTTGACAATAAATTTCATCCCTTGTTTGAAAAAAAAAGAATTAGCACACCCTACGCCTTTTGCACTTATATTTTTTTCAACTAAAAATCAATGCCAACCTTAATTCAGCTCGAAGAATTCCGTGTCCGATAATAAAATGAAGTTTTTCTAAATTTGTCGTCGGTCGAGATTCCAACCAGTGTTGATAACTATCCGCCGTATATTCATCTTCTTGTAATCTACGTCTGACATCTTCACCCAATTTGTTCTTTCTTTTCAAGGTCAATGATACTAATTTATGCCTTATGGACCGAGGCTTTTGCTTCATGAATGAGTCCTACCAATTAAAAAAAAAAAAATTATTTGAACCAAAGCAGCAAAAAAAAAAAAAAAAAAAAAAAAAAAATACATCAATTAATTTACCGGATCTAAACCCATCATTTGAGCTTCTTGAAATTCTTTACTCCTAATAAAATTTCTTCCTAGTGTAGCTGTCACTTTAGACATAACTGACGTAGTATCTCTGTCCATAGTATGGCATCTTGGTTCGGCTAAATCTCCCGTAAATCTGAGTATTGTAATCCAGAGAGCTTGAGCAGCCTGTAAGATCATAAAATAACGGTTAGAAATCATCAAATTTTTTTTAATATAAAAAATAATAATAATAATAAATTGAAATGAGTACCAGTTGATCGCCCTGTGTGTGAAGAGGTAATAACGAATGTTTTAACGGTTTTCTCGAGTATTGATGAGTCATATTCCCTTGAAAATAAGTGGCAGCAAATTTATGAAATTTAAATTCCGATAAATCTTCTTCGTCTTCGGATGGAACATGCATGGGACTTATTATTTCGTGAGGATCTGCTTTTGGAGATGGTAAATCGTTAAAAACGGAAGTTTCTCTTGTTGACGTCGGTGCTTCGCTACTCGAATCCGGAAGAAAATCAAACATGGCTTCGACCAATTTACTATCATCGACCGGTTCATCTTGTTTTTTAGCCGCATCATTTATCAAATTTTTCTTTATTTCCATTTGACGTCGTTCTTCCATTTCCAATTCTATTTCTTTTCTTTCTAGTTCTTTCATTCGTTTCTGCACAATTTAATTTGTATAATATTATCCTTCGCAATAAGTATATTAACTTTATGATAAATGAAAACTTACCCTATAATTTTGTTCAGCTATTTCTTTAGCTCTTTTATTTCCTGCTTCTTTCAATTCTCTTTCTTCTAATTTTCTTAAACGTAGAGCTTCGAGATGATGTCGATAATCATACTAAAAATATTTTTTTTTGTATGAAATTTACGGACAGATTAAGAACATAAATTTAAAAGAATCCAAAAAAATTTTCAAACCTTAATTTTCTTATATCTTTTTTGTGCTATCATCCTTCTCACGTGAGCTTGTATTTTAATTATAGCCCATATTTTCGTTTTGAACATACGACGAATAAGATACCCTCTTATACGTGCTTGAAGAGCGACCACGTGACCTCTCAAGTGTCTAAACCTGTGAGATAACACGCGGGATCTTATCAAAGCCTGGAGTCTCATGTATCCTCCACGCATTCGTTGATATCGCCGTCTTTGCGCCCATCCTTTCCAGTATTTTTGTATCGTCATAGCTGCATTTTTCATTTTAATAAATCTGTTGAAAAAATTAAACCGTTTGATAAATCGACTTTGATAATACCAAATTTAAAAAAAAAAAAAAGGTAGATACCTTCTTCTGTAAACCCAACCGCGGATGGATCTTTGTAATATTAATATTTTACGCGTCAAAACTCTATCTCTTTCTTGTTCCAGAAACAAATCGTGAGCATCTTTTAAAAATACTTTATTGTGACCCAATTGATAATCGGAACGACCAAGAACGGCTTGACAAATTTTTGTAGTCGCAGTTCTGCAATCACCCTAAAAATTTAAAAAAAAAAAAAATTAAGAAAAGTTCCCTTTACGAACGGTAAAACTTTTCATAACAAAATTAGGATACCTTATGAGCCGGAGGAATTCCCGGTATTAAAAATCTGTATCTCTCGACAAATTCTTTAAAACTATGACGAATCGGATAACCTGCTCTTCTAATTCTTATTGTTTCCATCATACCTGAATACCTTAATTGTCGGCAACAAAGACCGCGGTCAAACATCTGCAAATTTTTTAATTATTATTTTATTATTCTAGCGTTGATGATTTTTACACGCTTTGAGGAAGTTAACTCACCATTGGTTTTTTGTATTCATTGGGTTTTATGCATCTGATGAAGAATGGCTGACAAGAACTGAGGGTTTTCATTAAACTGTCTAATGATTTTTTAAACTGCGTCGATAACGTTGGAGTTCGTTTTCTCGTTTCCGAACCCATTCCAATATCTTCGGCAAATATCGATTGTAAAAATTTATTATTAGACATGTGAACTAACTGTAAAAGATCAGCACTAAACGTATCTCTGTTTTTTTCTAAAAATCCTCTCGTGTCGTAGAAAACGATTCCGGCAAAATGGTTCAAACCGAATGAAGTATTGATGTCTGATTTCGGTTTTAAATAATTTCTGTGACTGCTGTGAGTTTTATGAAGTTTAGCCAACATGGTTTGATCCGTTCCCTAAAAATACAAAATTAAAAAATTAACATTTTTCTCGTTTGTTATCGTCCGGCTTGATTAAGTATTTACATGCCTTTGGAAATTTAGATTCTTCGTCAATGAGCGCCATTATATTCAATTGCTTTATCGCTATTAAATCCAACGAATCTTGATTATCCACAAATTCTATATGCTGCCAATTGATACCTTCGATATTATATTCCTCCTGTTCTAATTTAAAAATATGCTGGACGAAAAATTGTTGCAAATTCTCGTTGGCATAATTAATACAAAATTGTTCGAAACTATTTGTATTGAAATTTTCGAAACCGAAAATGTCTAAAACACCTATTGCACTTCTCGTAGAACCTCGAGGTTTATAAATTGCACTATTAATTTTTTTTACTATAAATATAAACAATCGACCGTATATTCCTTTCACAAAAGCGTCTCTAACATCAACTGACTGGTCGCGGGATAACGTTGAAATAACAGTTTCGCCATTTGCAAAAATTGTTTTCCTCGTTAAAGCACTAATAAGCGGTTGTAATGGCACCCCTAGTAAACCGGCAACTCGTTCCACGTTGCTATGATCTGGAATCTCAGTTGCATCTAAATTATCTGGGAACAATTGATGAATCGACAATTTAGACAAAAATCACGAGCAAAAATCAACAGTAAATATTAAATCTAACCTATAACGGCAGCTTTATATTTAATATTTCCCGTATGAAGAAGGGCTGCCAAAAGTTTAAGTATTTCCCAAATTTCTTGATCGGAAAATAATAAAACTTTCATTGCCGATCTAATGTCTGCAAATTCCGCGGCGTCATCTCTTCCTTCGCAAGTAGTGCTTCCTCCCTAAAACGCAATTGTTATTTAAAAATAAATTACTTTATTGCTAACGATATTAGTTAAAATGATGGCGCAACTTACTCCAGTCAAATATCTATATTGATTGGGTTCTCCTAAATCAAGTTTTTGTTTTTCTTCTTTTGTAAGTCCGGCTAGTATGCAATAAAAAACGTGATAGTTTCTTTCGTCCGTATTTTGCGACACTATTCTAGATTTTTCTAGTAAATATTGCTCTATTTTAGCCCCTTCAATGACTCCCTGACTGTTGAAATGAATATCAATGTACTTTCCAAAACGAGAAGAATTGTCGTTACGTATGGTTTTAGCATTCCCAAAAGCTAATAAAAAAAAAAAAAAAAAAAAATTATTTTTACAAATACTAAATGAAATTTTTAAATGGTAATGGTAGTAGTAACACTAAATTATTTTTTACCTTCTAATATCGGATTAGCTTCTAATATTTGTTGCTCTATCCAAGAATGCTTACCACTGATGGCGGCTAAATATTGTAAAATTAACTTTGTGCTTTCAGTTTTTCCAGCTCCACTTTCTCCACTTAAAAAATAATGTAATTCTTAGTCAATTTGAAAAATTCAATATTACATCAATGCTGCTGGAATTTATTTTACCTGATAACAATACATTGGTCGTGGCCATATCTCTTCATGTGAGTATAAGCATTATCTCCGATAGCAAATATGTGGGGTGGAAGTTCTCCAATTTTTTTATCCTTGTAAAGTTTTATTTGCTCCGCCGTATATATGGGAAGAATTTGATATGGATTTACAGCTACTAATATTGACCCCGTATACGTCTGTTGATAACAAACATAAATTTTTTTTTTTTTAATCGACAAAGCAAGTGTTTATGAATTACATTAAATTACATTATAATTAATTTGAACTTACATAAATTAAATTTTCATTGTATCTGATAAGGAGATTCCTTAGAATTCCAGCTTCGTGAAGGTCGCCCAACGAGATCATATCTTCGACTCCTTGGACAGAAGTGGCATGCATGGCTTTTATTCGACGCTCTGGAGTCAGCCATTGTTCCTTGCTGTCGTCGTCTTTTACTTGAATCCTTCTTCCTTCTGCTGATACAACCCTTGCTCCGATCGCTACGTCGAACTCTCTTCCTGTAACGGGCTCTATCCAAATGTAGTCTCCCTAAAAATAAACGAATCATTTTTTAATAATAATCTTTAAAAATATCATACGTACGTTTTTATAAATTTAAAATGATTGTAAAAATTATTTTTGTTAAATGCTGTGCCGAGCAACAAAATACTATGCGCAACCATCTTAGTATCAAAAAAACCGCCAATCAGCATAAAGTGTCTACAACCACTTCAAAAATTCAAACCCCTTAAATGTCGCCTTTTTGTTTTTTATTACTCTATGACAGCGCAATGCATAATCATTAAAATAAATCGTTTCGTTCACGTACTCATTGCGTGTAAAAAAAAAAAAACCACAGAGTAGTAGTTATTAACGAGTTGCAAATGAGTAAATTTTTTTTTTTAAAAAAAGGCCAAATACAACAGCCGTTATGATTCATTTTAATAAAAACAATGTACGCGTGATTTAAACTTCAAACTTCCTGCACACGGATTAATAAATAACAAATAACGGGAGTAAAAACGAATATGTTCGTTTTATTAAAATGCATAACACACCGACCGACACACAATGCGTATTGTCCGTTTACCATCAGTATAGAACCTCGTTCGTATTTAGGTACGAAAGGGTAAAAGTTTGATTTATATTAATTTTCGAAATAAATAATAATAATAATAATAATTTTTATTATTTGTATCACAATGTTTTTTTCCCTATTTTTTTTTTTTTTTTTTTTTTTTTATGAATAGGAAATTTCGAAATCAATGAAATCAGGTTTAAAATCACGCATGGATGATTTTAAAACATTTCTGTAATTTATTCTGAAAAACCAGCCAACCCCTTTTTTTTTTTTAGGAACAATATAAGTAAAACAGGTACGTTATTATTATTATTTCGATAGCGTAGTAAATAATTTCAATTTTTAATTAGAAAAAAAAAAAAAAAATTTGAACACAATTTTAAGGATTTTTAAACAAAAATTGTGGACGAGTTCGAAAAAAGAATATTATCATAGATTAAATACGGATTAAATATGGATTAACATTTTTTTTTCAGAGATTAAAACGAAAAAAGTAAGACGACATTTTTATAAATAAAAAAATCTGATTGTAAAAATTTTTATAAATAATTCATTTGATACTCATCATCATCATCATCATCATAACGGATATATAATATACCCTTCTCCATTTCTAATAATGTGTTTCGTTGACTACGTGATTTTTCCCACACTTTTTTTTTTTTTTTTTTATTCACAAAATTAATAATAATAATAATAATAATGTTTTTTACAAAAAAAAAAAATGTATTTTAAGGTCAACGTTCTCAACATCAAACGATTGATTTTTAATAAAATAATAATAATAATAATTAATTTAATGTTATTATTTTTTCCCCCATTCACACACATATTAAAAATTTCCATTCGAATTTTCCCCCTCCCCATTTAACAACCTTTTCGTATAATAATAATAATAATAATAACGTTTTAAGATTTACTTTTAGAAATCATTTTGATAATAATAATAATAATAATAAGGGACGACCCACATTCTTCGGAAAATATTATATAAAAATAGCACCAACGAAATTCGAGCCAGCATTTATCCCTAAGGAATCGTCCAGGGTAGAAACCTGGAATAAGTGCTTAAAAATCTCGACAAATGAGAATCTTGTCCATAGAGAAGAGACCATAATAATAATAATAATAATAATAATAATAATTTCATTTCCTTGTTTAAATCATTAAAAAATAATTATGTCGAATTAATTAATAAAGATTTGTGAGTGAATTTGTTAGTTGTTGTTGTTATTATTATTATTATTATCTTTTTTGTTTATTCCTTTTAATAATTACCATTTTTTTTTTGTTTTTTCCTTTGAATAAAATAAAATAAAATAAGAAAAAAATAAGACTTACCCTGGTGACAATCACCATTCTTCCTAGTTATCATTTCATCATACTCGGGGACAAAAAATTTTTGGAAAAAAAAAAAAAAAAACAATTATTAAAATTCGTTATAAATAATAGCTATAATAATAATAATAATAATTTTTTTAGCATATTTTAATCATTAAAAATATTATTATTATTATTATTATTCGGCGGCCAAATTATATAAAATAATTTTTATTTTCGACACGTACGTTTTATTCAATTAAATTTTTTTTTTTTTTTTTTTTAAATTCCAATTCAATATTTAACGACTCAACTGTAAATAAATTGCGAATGATTTTAATTATTAATAACCGACAAACCTGATTTAAAATCAAATAATAATAATAATAATAATAGTAATAAATCATTAACGAATATTTCATTTCAAAGAAAAAAAAAAAAAAAACCATAAAGCGAAGAAAGAAAAAAAATATAAAAAATAATAAATGAAATAATTTTTTTTTTTGAAATGATAATTTGTATAAAAAACCTTAAATAAATTACAAGAGAGATACCTTAAAGATCAAGATACCTTAAATTTTTTTTTTTTTTGTAAAGAAATAAATTACATATTTTGATGTAAAATGAACTTGGTAATGACTTTTTACTTAAATGAGTTTTTAAAAAAAAATTTATCCGATTAAGACATAAAACAATGAAAGTTTAATGAAACGTTCAGAAAGTAACAAATTGTTCAGTCATGTATTATATTATTATATTTTACCATTTTTATTATTATAAATAAATCGAAATTTGTGATACCTTAATTTCCTTTGATTTTTACCCCCCGTGATAATATTTATTTTAAAAAATTTCAAATGATTAATTAATAATTTATTATAATAGAAAGGGGTATGATTTTTTTTTTTTTTTTTACTCCCATCATTCGGACGGGATTTTTCTCCCGAAATTTAAAAAATTCCAGGTAAGGAAATAATAATAAAAAAAAACCGGGAAAAATAAAAATCAGGTTTTAAAATCATTAACAAAAAAAAAAAAAAAATCTCAAATCGATGGAATGAGAAGGCCGTTTTAATTTATTATATATATATTATTAGATTTAGGCCACTGAAATGTATTTTCCAGTGACTTACTCCAGGTCATTACGCTTTAACAATTAAAAAAAAAAAAAAAAAAAAAAATTTATTTCCCTAGCAGACGAAAATTCATTTCAAAAAAAAAAAAAAAAAAAAACATTCACGTTACTCAACATCATTCATGTGATGTGATCAAATAATAAATTTTCAATAAAAATAATACCGCCATTTTATTTAAACAAAATAATAAAATAACTATTGCAATAAATAATAATAATAATAACGTTTTATCTCTTATCAATGTAAAAAAAAATTTTTTTAAATGATTCATTCGACGTAAACCGTATTTAAAAGAAAGAAAGCCTTGTTAAAAATCCAAGATATCTATTACATAAAAGTAAATCAAAAAAAAAAAAAACGTTGGCATGTTATTATTATTATTATTATTATGTTTAAAAACAAACCGATGTTGTCGAGGATAAAGAAATTCAATTCGAAAAAATACAACCAACAATCACAATCGAAAGAAGAAACAATATGGAGCTAATGAAAATCTGTAAGAAGAACATTAGGGATTATGTGGAAACAATACCGACTACTTATAAATATGAAGAGGTTTTTTTTTTTTTTTTTTTCTTTTCTTCTTCTTCTTCATGGTTATGATTTTGCAAAGACACCATGCAAGAAGAATTAGCAGAGGTCATTGCGCCATCAGGTTTTTTTTTTTTTCTTTCGTGTAAAATTTTACTTAATAGTAAAAGCAAAAACTGTTTTTTTTTCTATATTTCTTTTTTTCAAAAGGAACAATCATCATTTTTTCCCAATACCATTGAAATAAATTATAATATAAATTATTATTATTATCGAGCGAATGTTTTTATGTTTAAAAAAATTATGACAATCACTGTTACGTACATTAAACCCATTTTTTTTTTATATAAAACTTTTTGTCGTTGTCGTTGTTGTTGTTGTTTTTGTTGTTGTTATTGTTACCTTTTCTGTCTGGTTGATAAATTCTTATGCCACCACACCTGCGACACGTGTTTTTTTTTTTTTTTTTGTAAATAATAAACATTACATTTATTTTTCCAACTTCAATTCGAGCATAAACACTTTTTTAAAAAAATGAGCGAGTGAAAAATAATAATAATAATAAATTGTTATTATTTGTTAAAGTGAGATAAAAACCAATACGAAAGGTGAACTCTACGTTTATTTTATTATTATTATTATTATTATTATTTTTTTTTTACCAAACAAATAATAAACGTACGGAAAAAAAAAATTAAAATTTTTTCAATATCCGTATTAATAAAAATAAATTTTGGTCATTATTTGGCGGCGGTTTGAAATCGAAAGGGGGGGAAGAAGAAGGGGAGGGAAAACCCCCCCCCATAAAAGATGAGAGAGAGAGAGAGAGAAAATAGTTAATAAATTTTCATTTGGAGTTATTAAAAAAATAGAAAATGGAAAAAGTTTCGCTTCGTAAAATTTTACAATGCAAAAAAAAAAAAAAAAAAAAAAAAATGGTTTCCATTGTTTTCTATTTTCTATTTTTTTATATTTTCTTTTTTTTTTTTTGACAATTGAATTTCTTACTTTACAATATGCAATTACGAACACATAAATTTCGCTTCTTGACATTATTATTATTATTATTATTATTATTAACACCTCGTATTACGGTATTAATTATAAATATTTTCATGTTAAAATGAAACAGAAAAAGAAAAAAAATTTAAATAAAATTTTCATTAAGGCCTCTAATTTTTTTCCCTCCCCCCCCTAATTTGGAAAATTCTTGTTTTATTAATAAATAATGTTTCCCCCCTCCCCTCACCCTCGTAGATGTCGGCGCAATTATAATTTTACCAATGTATTTAACCATTAGTATTCAAATAATGTTATAAATAATTTTACATGCTAATATTAAACAAACAGAAAAAAAAATCGAACCCGAATGACTGCTTTAAGTGGTAAGTGGGGGGGGGGGCGGGGGAAGAAAAGAATAATAAATTAAAATATTAATAAGTTAATAATAAATTGAAATTGGATGTACAAGGGGGGAGGGGGTAGGGGAATTTCTAGAGACATCTCCTTTTAACTTTTAGTTTTTTTTTTTTTGTCAAATTTTAGTATCAACTTCGAAAATACCTAAAATATATATATATATATATAAATTTTATATAGTTTCATTGACCTAAGA